TGCATTTAATTCAAGTTATTAATATTATTTAAAAAAAGAGTATTTTTGTATTTTATCAGCAAGTTTAAATTGTTTTCTTTGTGCTTTCCAAACACTGTTTTCAGCTAAACTAGAAAAGATAGAAAAACAAAAATTGATGATTTACAAGATCAATCTAATAAAATTAATCCTTTATCTACACGCTTCTAATTTTATCTATCCATCTTTCTAAATTTATAACCATTTATTCACAAAACTATCTGATATTGAATAAATACCTAATACTACGTTAACAAAGGGTCCAAGTCCAAAACTTTGAGGGACCGACCGCCATAAGAAAAAAACTAATGTGTCTACGTTAAGTTTAAAGTGTAAAATATTTAATGATGTCGTTATTATGGATCTAGAATTTGGGAATTGACATCCAAACGTGTTTTTAAAACTGAATACAGCAAAAAAACTGCAAATGCAATTCTTTTCAAGTTGCCTAAAGATATGCATAATTACTTAATTGGTATCATTTTCACTAGGTTTACATGTGATGTTAGCAAACGGATTTGTTTCTTTCTATTACTGCAGCTAGGCTCTAAAAGGACGCTTCGCGCACATATCTTCTATTTCAACTCTATCTGTGAGCATCTTCTCTTTGTACAAAATAAAACAAAAACAATACAAAGTTCGCGGATTAAAAACTACTTTTTTTACGGATTTAAAATTTTTTTTTCGTGGATTTTCAAAATTTTACAAAAATCAAACATTTTTGGAGACAAAGGGGGGGGGCCACAAAACGTATTACTCTCCGGAAAATTTAAACAGTGTCACTGTTTAAATTTTCCGGAGAGTAATACGTTTTGTGGCCCCCCCCCCTTTTTAAAACTCTGAGCATCCAAAAACCTCCCAGGGAACATGTGAAGTCCCACAAAAAAAATTGGGCCCATTCGATTTAGTCGTATTGACAAACAAACAAACAAACACCCAAACAGACAAAGCAAAGTATATTTATAGAAGATGCACTGCCCTTTCTTGCCGGTCACTCCCTTTAATTAAAAATGAACTTACCAATAACTCTTCTTAGATCATCAGGAAGAGCAGCAAGAAGTGCTACTCTAGCAGCTACTCTACATCTCTGCTTCTGACCTTCATCTCTCCTGTAATACAGTCTTTGCTTTAATACAAGCTTAAATCCAGCTAGTTTTCAGGATAAGATATCCAGTCTTTAGTGTTCAGGGTTAAATATGCAGGCTTTAGTGTTAAAGGTTAGATATCCAGGCTTAAGTGTTTATGGTTAGATATCCAGGCTTTAGTGTTCAGGGTTAGATATCCAGGCTTTAGTGTTCAGGGTTAGATATCCAGGCTTTAGTGTTCAGGGTTAGATATCCAGGCTAGTGCTCAGGGTTGGATATCCAGGCTTTAAAGTATGTGGTTGGTTCAGGGTTAAATATCCAGGCTTTAGTGTTCAGGGTTATATATCCAGGCTTTAGTGTCCAGGGTTAGATATCCCGGTTTAAGTGTTCATTGGTTAGATATCCAGGCTAGTTATCAGGGTTAAATTAACAGACTCTCGTGTTCAGGGTTAGATATCCAGGCTAGTGTTCAGGGTTAGATATCCAGACGAGTGTTCAGGGTTAGATATCCAGACTAGTGTTCAGGGTTAGATGTTACAGTAAGAACAATTAACATTATCTGGCATTATGTGTGACCATTTTTTCTTTTTAACCAATAATTAACAGCGTGATAAACAGGAACTTTAATGGCGTTCACTGTATCAATATATACGCCTATAGTGGGTTTGGAGATAATGTTGCTGACATGTGTAACTAGTTTAAGTTCAGTTTAATCGCCTTACTCCTAAACTTGGGAGTACTCTTTCAAGGACAACGTAAAATCAATTAAAAACATTTTCATTTCTTTTATATTTGGATTGCAGTAAAAGGTTTCTAAAAAGTAAACTAACTGGTGTGTTAATTATTAACGTTAATTCCTCTGACCACTTATAAAACTTAAAAACAAGGTCTGAGAGGCTCTAGTGGGGGTTAAGTTGATATAAATAATTTGCACGGCATATTGAAACAACTTGGTGACAAAATTCTTTAGATATACTTCTGTTAAAACAAATTCGAAATATAAGGAAGACGATTGTTCCGACTCAAATGCCGATGTTAATTCCCTGGATGTGTGTGTACACTGAATACACAGAATCCTTTTCCGCCATACAACACCCCCCACATGTCAAATCTCCGCTCAACCTAGCTCCCGCTTCACCAGTCAGTCAGCGGAAAACACTCACGAGATTCACAACTCCGTCTCAACCCTGGCTCCTTTGTGATGATGATTCAGATACGGAACCAACAACAGAAGACACTGCTTACACCTAGCTCCGCGCTCCACAAAGTTCCAGAGATCCGGGCGGAACCAGACTTCCTTCCATTATCCTGTATACAGGATAAGTCCGCAATCTCTCCCTTAGACTAAGCCTAGTTGTGAGAAAGCCTGCCGTCAAGATTGATGATCTGCATCACCATCATGAAGTTCTACAAACACCTTCTAACTGATATTCGTCTATAGTTTCTTTATTAATTTCTAAACCAATCAATTTAAGCCCCACTTGGGAAAATATTTCATAACCTTTTGTTTTAATAAATAAAGATTAGAAATACCGTTAGATCTCTTTTATTTCATTTTAAAGTCAACAACTTCAAAATAATTTGCGCCAATGCATAAAAGGACTTAGGAAAATTTGTCAGTTCCTGCATTCAAACTTTTGAAACAAAAAGATGATTTTGCAGGGAAAAGCAGATATTTTTTGTTTATGCAAATAGGATATATTTATATCTTAACTAAAATTACTAAAATTCTTCATTTCGTTATTTCCTGTAAACGGAATTTTTTTTTTAATAAACCACCCACCCCTCTAAAAATTATAAAAAAAACTAAAAAAATAATATTTAGCATGCAATATGGTAAAAATATCAACTTCAGCAATATGGTTCAGAAAAACGCATTTTAAAATCTTTATTTAATAAGAATAAGAGGAATGCAGGAATAGCGCATTATCTGGCTCTTACTGAGTTTACAAGTGTATCTGTAATCTTTATGTATTGTATATGTATTGAGCAGAGGATTCGACATCTAGGGTTGATTAAAATTATCTAAACTTTGGCAATTTAAACTTTGTACACTTGTCTTGAACACAAATAAAAATTATTTTGCCAAAAATATTTACTTTAGCGGCAAACCCTCTATTTAGTATATACATAAAGTAGTAATCTCCAATCTTAACTCATGAACCCCTTGATAGATTCGCCTCAAATTTTGAACCCCTTGAACGATTCACTTTGTGAATACAGGAAAACCAAGGGAGTGTTTAAAGTTGAGTGGTATTGGAAAAATCCAAGCAAAGCTTCGTTCCCAAGCTTGTTTTAAATTAAAGTTATAAAAAGTAGTTTAGGTTAATCTACCCCTAGGTTAAAAACTAATAAAGCTTACTGCGGGGACTAGGTTTAGGTTAATCTAACCCTAGGTTAAAAACTAATAAAGCTTACTGCGAGGACTAGGTCTAGGTTGATCTAACCCTGGGTTTAAAACTAATAAAGCTTACTACGGGGACTAGGTCTTGGTTGAGCTACCCCTAGGTTTAAAACTAATAAAGCTTACTACGGGGACTAGGTCTAGGTTGAGCTACCCCTAGGTTTAAAACTAATAAAGCTTACTGCGGNGGGGGGGTTTGGGGGGAAATTATAAATGTAAAATAAAAAAGATTAGGGAAAATATTTATGAATGTAAACAAACCCCCATTTTTCATTCTCAAACATTTGGAATCTGGGTCTGTTTCTCGAAATAAATGACATAAATAGTACGAATAAGGTTGATCTAAGTAAGGGTGAGACTTGGGAAAATTTTAAATAATAGCAGATCCAGTTTGCAGCAATCCAGGAATTTTTCTCACAAATCAAAATATGAGATTTAGAAAAACAATGATCAAGTATAAATTCAGAATTTTGTGGCGTACTAATTTGCAAGCGAAAAACTCATTTGTCAAATTTATTAGTTAGGTTATAGAAATATATTTTTTGAAACACTGAATACAAAAACGTTGAATTCGTAAAAACCTTATAATTCTTTTTAAATTATAGGCCAAAAACTGGTTCTTGGGCAGAGTTTTCCCCCCCACACAAAACAGTAACTTTTTTACCTTAATTATAGTTTACGAGTTTTTGTGATTGCTGATTTTTTTTTCTTTGGCGAATATGTCTTCATATTAGCTATTATAAAATGTTGTGCTGGAGGATAAAAAATGATCGATTAAAACGTTTTACTCTTAGTAAAATGAATTTACCTTGTGAGGGTTGTGAAATAATCTACAATCTTCTTGTTTACAATATCTCCAAACATGGTGTTGATTATCTGTCTAATATTTTCACAACATTAGGAACATATTTTACAAAAATTATAAAAAATCCTTCCCAGAAATACAAATACTTCTCAAATTCTTATCAACAAAGCACAGACATTTCAATTTTTTTTTCAATCTAAATAAGTTTAGGTAGGTTAAACAAGACATCTAAAAAAGCAAATAATCTATAATTAAGCTTACATTGATCAAAGAAAGAAAACCAACATTTTGAACATACGACGCCAAATATATTTTTGGCAAATATCATTGAAGAACTAAAAAAATTCAAGTTTGTATGCGTCTAAATTCGAAGTATTCCTACAAATGTTCTAAAATCAGTTGATCTTTGGATAAAAAAGTTTAAAGTGTTCCCAACTCTTCTATACAATTTAAACCTTTTAACTCAACTATTTGGAAATATATTATCGTTTCTGCATTTTATACTTATCTTTTATATAGAGCGCAAAGCCACAGAAATTAGATGAATATACATTTTTTGTCATAACTTAATCTCAATTCAATTATTAATAAATGTTGGCGAAATTTTGGAAATTAATAGAAAAACATTTTCCATCAATTTAAGAACAAATTACTTTAAAAAAAAAAAAAATTTGGTTTCCCGGATTTGTTTAATAAGATTTTTGAGGTCACATTTCAATAAAACCCCAGGTAAAAAAAGTTTGTGCAGAATATCGCTAATCCTTGTATGTTTGATAAGTATTTTACCAACAGCCGGCCAAACCGTAGGACTTAGTTTTGGATAAACCAAACTCAAACATTTAGAGAGAGGTATCAAAAATAAAAAATGTTGCATTTACAGTCCTCATTCTTTGATCCTCTAAGTTTATATATAATGTAACTTTGCACCTTTGAACAGTTTTTTTATTAGAAAACAAGAATTAAGAAAACTAAAAAACCAAAAAAAATAAAAAATCTTGACTTCAGGTTTCTCTGATCGAAGATGTGAATATTCCTGATAACAGTGATAATTTGTCTTTGCAGCCATTTATTTCTCTCTCCCAGATCAAATACTTCATCCAGGAATAGCAGAGTTATTCTTTAAATATAAATTTATCATTTATATTTTTAGAACTGATATTAAATGTACATGTGTAATTGATAAGACACTTTGGGCTGTCTTTGCCTAGATTTTAAGGTAAAAATTGGAATATATTTAGATCTATATACAGAGAGTAAAGTATATCTGACGCAGATTGAAATTTATTAGACATAAAGTAATAAAATCTCACCGCTACGGTAAAATGTTTTAAATCTTATTTTATCATAAAAGGTTATTCCAAAACAGGCTGTTTAATTCTATTTATATACTACCTCTAATTAAAATAAAAATAGGAGCAATCGATTCTGACATTTTTCTAATTTAATGGAATCCAATACCACCGGTTAAAACTTACTCCTTCTAACCACCAAGTAAAAAGTAAAACTGTTGGTATATTGATAAAAAAGAATAAAAAATGCATATCTCAATAGAAATGTGCCAATTTGGGGACTATAAACTCCCCCTGGAAACCATAGCAGGCACTTCACAAGGTGTGGGGGGGGGGGGCTCATACTCAACCCCACCCCTGTATATGCCCTGCATTTAAAAAGACCAAGATGAATTCAAATCCTACTTTTTATTTTTGAAATTAGAGTTCCCTTCCTTAGGTAACAAAATCTCTTAAAACCAGACTTTCAAACTTATAAAAATACCCATTTTTCAAGCATTTAAACAGAGGTGGTTTATGGTGGAGGGAAGATGGGACGTCCCTGGAGAAATTAGGAGCGCAGGAAGAGAGAGAAGGCACCTTCTAGTCCTTTTATTTTGATTCTTAGGAATAGATTACTGTGGCGCCATTTTTTTTATTCAAAATGAAGATTTGTTTATAAAATCGAAATCTTGCCAACACACTTTCCACCTTCCACCCCCCAGCTGGGCATGATTTTGACATAAAATTGAAAAAATTTCCTGAAAAAATTCCAGGGGGTTGGAATTCGTCGCGCAAAATAATTCAATTACCCCCCCCTCCTTCCTACTCAATCCCTGCCATGCACAACAGGGTTAACACTATCTTTTAATCTTCAAGTCTCGCGATTAACAACATGAGTTCCATATATGAATATATATTTTAACAATATTTTTTATAGATCAAAAACTTATTATGTTGACATCTTAATTTACTTTATTTGCAAAGCCTTAAAACTAAAAGAAAACAGACTTGTAACTGTGTAACTGATTTACTATGAATAATGTATTATGTTAAACCTAAAATGTCCAATAATCGCCAAATAAACGGATCTTCTTAAAAACATTAAAAAATATCATACAGTCGTATAAATCAATACAATGCAAACGAATTTTTATTTTTATTTTAATTTGTACTGAGGTTATAAACAACAGAAACACTTTAACATTTAAACAAAGAGAAGTTGTCTATTCTCTTTGTGTTCTTCTAAATTTCTAATTTAAAAGATGCTTGGTAGGGATCACAGTTTTATAAACAGTCGTCTTCCTTTTCTTGATATAATCGCCGAACGTGTGTACGAGAGTACGAAACGATGATGTGAGAAGAAAGAGGAAGACGTGTAAATCGCGCAACCTCTTATGAAAAATCTAAACCGACGCGTTAGTCTAGAAGAGTTTAAGTAGGGAAGGAGAGGGGGAGGGAAGGAGATGAAGGGGAGGTTAAGGGAAGAAGGTGGTTCTAAGAACTAAACCTGAGTTCGACGAATTTTTTTGAACAAGGTTGGTTGAAGAATTGAGTGTTTGAACATGTTTGATTGATTGAAGAGTTTTATCAATCTTTATGCAGAAACCCATTTGATCTTTCCACCTCGCAATCCCTCGCAATTTGACACATTTTTCAACCGGCGCCAGCTGTGGAATCTACTCGGAAACAGAGTCTGAGAACTTGTGCTGAAACAACGCTAGGGCTGGATTTTGGTACATTTCTGAACTGCTTTTCACACTGAACACGGATTGACCAAATATTTAGATATTCATGCAGTGGGGTTAAGCATAGATAAATAGAGAGATAGATAGATATACAGATAGAGATACAGAGGTAGACAAACAGACAGATAGACGCACCCTGACAGATAGATGGACAGACATAGATTTTAGAAAGACAGATAGGCGGAGTAATAGGATGGATTATAAATAAACACATAAATAATACATAGAGATTTTAAGATATTTAGATGTATAAAGGATCGAATTGAGTCTTTGCTACAAACTCAAATTTTCTAATACCTAAATATGTGTAACCTAATGGTTTAAACCTTTGATATTTCAAACTTAAGTTATTATATCTAACAGATTTTATAGTTTGAAAAATTTAAGACCTACGACATTGGGTTGCAAAGATATAGGGTTTACCAAATGACTCAATTCCTTTATATACAGATATATACACAGATATTTAGAAAAATAGATATATTATTGATAAATATATTGATATATGTAGCATTCATGAAAAAAACACGAAACAATAATTCTGGAATAATGATTGGAAAAATAATCTGTTTTACTCATTAATGATACAGATAAGAAAACTATATACAAACAATATTATATATAGAAACTCAGATAAATAAATTATAGATGCACAATATAGATAAATAGATACATAGATAAATAATTATTATCATTAAAACAGATTGAAACGTCCATTATTACTTTTTATACTTTTCGAAAAGGAACGATCACACTTTTTAATTGACACTGATGAGGTTAATGCTTACTAATTAATTTGCTGATATATTCTGTAGAGTAGTAAATAATCGTGTTGTTGTTAAGTTACAAGAGAAACCTTCATGTTTCTGTTTATATTCATCTAAGAGCTCATTCTTACAAAAGCTAAGATATTCAAACTTCCCAAGGTCGTCACTCGTCACAGGCAAAGTATCTATTTTTATTCCAAAAGGTAGCATATGAAAACTAAGTCATTTTATCTACATTTAAATGAATTGTCCGTAGTACATTTAGATCATTTAGATCCTAAGCATTTATCCATCCCATCCTTCTACTTTTCCTTTAACTCCACGCATTTTCAGAACCTTCTGGTAATCTATTGCATTCAAACTGTCTCATGAATTTTAATACATTAAATTCTATT